CCTGGTGAAGCTTTCTCCGAACAGTGAGCTCTCTCCCAGGTTCCTCCCGCGAGCCCCCCTGTCCTTTTTCCGCAGCAAGACCAAGGCGAGAAGGAGAACCCCATGCGGGAGCTGCGCATCCGCAAGCTCTGCCTCAACATCTGCGTCGGGGAGAGCGGGGACAGGCTCACCCGGGCGGCCAAAGTGCTGGAGCAGCTGACGGGCCAGACCCCCGTCTTCTCCAAAGGTGAGGAGGGGATTTTCCTGCCGGCTGCCTATGCTGGGGGCCGCAAAGGGGCGGGTTGGTGCCTTCCGTCAGCAGGGGTTATTTTCCTTCCCCTCCGGAGCGTGCAGGGGGTGAGTGGCAGCGTGGCTCCCCGGGAGGCTGCTCTGATGGGGGCCTTGGTGTGAGAATTGGGGCCTTGAATACTCAGGTGCTGGAGGTCAATTCTGTCCACTCGGTTCTGCCTCCAGACTGGGGCAGCTGCTCTGCCCTTGTCCCCAGAGAAAGAATGTGTGGTGGGTTGTTCTTTTTTTTCTTTCCTTTAAATTAATTTCTTTGGTCTTAAGCAAGCTCTGAATGCCCCAAATGGGAATTCTGTGAATAGCCTCTAAGTGTGCTTCCTGCTGCCTCCAGCGCGATACACTGTACGATCCTTTGGAATCCGGAGGAATGAGAAGATTGCTGTTCATTGCACGGTTCGCGGGGCCAAAGCAGAGGAGATTCTGGAGAAGGGGTTGAAGGTGAGAGTTAGGTCTGCGTCTTTGATTTGTGAAAGATCAGAGCTTAAACCGTAATGACTGAAAAGATGTGTGCTTTGAAGTGTTAGACCTGATGTAGTCAGAGGTCAGTCGTGGATGTTATGGGTTGGGCTAGCAGCTTTGATACACTGACTGCCGTGTTTGCACCATTTTTCTGTCTGGTTGCTGTTTCATCCTTATTTAAGAGCTAGTGGGTGCAGCTGCGGCTTTCTTTTGAGGTTCTGTCTTTGCTGTGATTCATGAGCAAGCTCTGGGAGCAGAATCTTAGGGCTAAAGGCTTAGTAGGATGTAAGCGAGTGGTGGGAGTTGGAACGTGCAGGGCTTTTTATTCTGTTTGCAGTCAATAAAATAGTGACTGACGACAAATGTTTCAGGTGCGAGAATATGAGTTGAGAAAAAACAACTTCTCAGACACTGGGAACTTTGGCTTTGGAATCCAGGAGCACATTGATCTGGGGATTAAATACGATCCCAGTATTGGTATCTACGGCTTGGACTTTTATGTGGTGCGTATTCCCCACTTCCCTGCAGCTACTGGGTTTGTGTGAAAGCTCTAGAAGGAACCTAACTAGCTCATGTGAACTTGCTGCCCAGTGCTGGAAGATGGATAAATGTCAACAAAATCCAAATCTAAACTGAGTCTAAAATCCTCGATTTCTGACATGTCTCAAAGCCTCTTCAGAAACAAATCCTGTTGCTCTTACTGGTACTCCTGGGATAACACTGTGCTGGGTTTGGGGAGGGAAGGAGCAGCAGGGGCTTCGGGAACACAGACTGAGAGATGGGCTGGGGATGGGTCCTGTAGCAGCCGGCTGGCGTGTTCGGGTCGTTCCGTGCTGCTGTGCCTCACTCTGTATCTCTGAAATAGAGGGAAGCTGTTCTGTGCCTATTGAATGTATCTTTTCTCAAGAGCTGAAGCCTCTGGGTATGGAATAGTACATCTTCCACACCATTTTGGTTTCTTTGAGTCAGTGCATGTCCTAAGTTGTCCAGCCCAGGAGCTGGACAGCAAGACGTTATTGATGTGGAAATTCTAGCCCTCCCTCCTAGAAAACTGTTATGTTCAAGAAAATAAATAAATGCTAGAATGAAATAGTGCTTTGGGTCTCCTCTCCTGGCAGGTGCTGGGCAGGCCTGGTTTCAGCATCGCTGACAAGAAACGCAAGACTGGCAACATTGGAGCCAAGCACAGAATTGGAAAAGAAGAAGCCATGCGCTGGTTTCAGCAAAAGGTAAAGTCCATCTTTATTTTTGTACCCCAAGAGTTTCCTAGCAAGTATCAGCAAAAATGCTTTACTGGGGAAGGGCTCAAACAAGTCACCGGGCAGGAGGAGATCTTGATCACTGCTTAAATCTTTGATTTTTACTGCTTTGGGGCAGCAGAAGCTGCATTTGAGCACGAGAGCTGTTCATCCCCCTTTTTGTGTGTGCTGAACTGAAAGAGCAGCTCTTGCAGGATAGCTGGAAGTACTGGCTCTTGTGTAAATCTGTCTCCCACTGTTCTTGGAGGTGTTCTGTGTGTCCCAAGTGATGAGGCAGGGTTAGGAGTTGTTTATCTGACACAGCTCCTAGCTCAGTTGCCAGACTTGGAGGATGGAGTGATACAAATAAAGCAAGTTCTTGGGTTTATCTGTCTGTAGCGCTCCCTGACACCGGCTGGATAATGAATGGGAGATGCTCTGACATGGGAACTCCTGATACTTTCTCAGAGGTGGAAAGGGTGGACAGTCTGTCTGAAGGCTCTTTACTGGCTAATTTTCCCAGAGCTAAAGGCCTATCCT